TCAACAATCTGAATAACTGTGAACAGGATTCTTTCCAAAGCTTGCAGATAAGAACCCGCCTCAGCCAGAACCTTGATTTCTGCCTCCTGAGACCTCCAACAGAGGACCCAGCCAAGCCTTGTCAGAATTCTGACCAAAGGAGCTGTCATTATTTGGTCCATTTGGTTTACAATAATTTGCTGTGGCGACAATAGAAAACATACATGAGACAAGGCCAGCTCTTTGGGTCATGTGGCCTCTCAGCTCCTCAAATGTGCCCTCCAGGTCCCAACCAAAGTACTTTCTCCAGTCAGGCTGCTCTCCGCCCTGCACCCCCACACATGACGCTTTCCTTTTTCTCACAGACATTCTGTGCTTTTTCTCACAGACATTCTGCGGTTCCCTCTGGCCTCGGGCCTTCCCCCGTCCCTTTCTTCCACAAACTGGGTGAGCCCTGGCCACTCTCCAGCTGGAACTCTTGCCTTACTTAGTACTAAGTGCCTCTCATCGTCTAACTCCTGACGGGTGAAGACCTTGTCCGGTGGCTCCGTTGTGGCTCCATAACGCCTCTCACTACACGTACTGGGACCCCGAGGAACACTTGCTCAGAGAAGCACTGATTCAGTCCATCCCGCCAAGCCCTGCAAGATCTTCACACCTGCAGCCTGCACGCAGGACACGCTCATAGAGAGGAGGCAAGGCTTCAAGCATTTCTAGCTCAAACAACTCCTTGGATTTGTACGGGACTTTGGCTTTTCAAGCATTCTCAAATGTATTATCTCATGTGATTAAAAAAAAAAAAACACATGAAATAAACAAGGTGGGTATTTTTTAATTCCCAGTTTTTATAGTTGAGAAAACAAGAGGCTCCAAAAGGTTCAGAGATTTGCCTAGCTAGCAAATCTGCGTGAGGCGGACACGCCGCTCTGAAGATCTGGGGGAGACCTGGAAGAGAAACAGCATGGCAAGCTCTGGGAAGCACCACTGCTGTGAATCAGACTGTCGCCAGGTTTCCAAGCAGTTCGATTTCACCGTGTCTGTTTCTCCACTGCTTCCCCAGTCCTCCTTCTTCCTCTCTCTCCCTGTCTTCTTACAGGAAAAGTTCTTCCGTTTAATTTTAAAGCATTCCTGCTTTAGGGAAAAAAACCCCAAACTCTCATTCCAACAGTAGGATCATTCAGATACTGATGAGAATACCTTCCCTGGGGCACAGTGAGATGGCCAGAGTGCTGGCCCTGAATTAGAGGACCAGGTTTATGGCACCAGCTCTGCTTCTGATCAGGCTTTGCAGAAACCACTGCCCTTGAGTAGTCCACTCAGAGAGCAAGAGCCTGTTTCACACTTGTTTGTTGTGAGGATGAAGTGAAATGGCAAATCGAAGACTTCTGACAGCCCACAGGGCTACACACATTTTAAATGTCAAATTCCTCACCTCAACCATGATCACCCCAATTATTAGCACTAAGGCCAATCTCCCTGCTTCACTAAAGAATATCCTAGGCTCCTGGCTATGCTCTTAGGATGTACTATTCTCTTCCAGTGAAGCTGGCTGCGGCATTCATTCAGGCTGATTTCATCTTATTCAAAATACTACTGGTAAACAGGGAGGACAGTGAAAGAGTAAGTGTTGAATTTAACCCGAGTCCTACACAGACCCAGAGGGGTCCCTGACTACATTTGCCTTGACCCTTTCATAAGATAATCAGAGCAGAACTGAGAAACGCTGGCTGACACAAATGCAGAAATACAGTCTATGCTGATGCTTCAGTGCAAATACAAGGGGTCACTATTCACCGGAAGAATGACTTCCCGTGACTAAATGACTCTGCACAAGAGCTTCTACAGTGCTGAATGCACATCAATATTTGGGTTGAATTTAACTTTCCCCTACTATCCACAGCCCTTCAGAGAACTAAGGTAAGACCAGTAAGGGGTGCTTTCAGGTTCGGGTCTGGAGTTCTCTGATGATGATCTGTCATGTGGAAACTTATTACAAATCTAGCAAGGCCATTCTACTTTAGTAAGTCTATAGTGGGTTTTCCGTGAATATTGTTCATGATTCTGGAAGACTGATTACTCTTGAACCTGCCCATGGTTATTCAGATAAGCTTCATGATCACTAACTTCAATAAAAACTGCTTAACAATTTTTCTTTTTATAATAAATTTTAGGCCATGTGCAGACAATGAACATTTAAAGAAATGACAATATCCTTCTAGATATTATACTTAAAATAGATTACAGATGAAATGTGGACCTCTTTACTGTGCAAGCCTGAACCGCATTTTGGAAACATAATCAGATGACTTCCAAAGCTCTAGTCTTGGTTTCTCACCAGAGTTCTCATCTGAAGGTACAGATAGGGGGAATATGATGAATTCTATTTTAAATACCCCAGGGCTATGATGAGAATGAAAGTAGATAAACAAAAAGGAGAGCTTTCTAACTGATTTTTGGGCAAACCACTTATCTCTTTGAGCATTAGTCTGCATCTGTATGAAAGAAATACTTGCATTTTCCATTTCACAGGAATATTATGAAATGAAATAACTATATGAGAAAAAGTTTTGCAAACTCTAAGTCAGCTTGTATATAATTTATTATCATGTGTAAAATCAACTTATATCTACCACCTAAAGTGGCATGCAGAATCCTTGGTATCTCTAAACTAGACTCTGCTCCTTTAAAACCAGCTTCTCCCGCCGAGGTTTCTGTCTATGCTCACAGCATCCACATCATCTCAGGCGTCTCAGCTTAGAAACTTGGGTTGTGCTAGGAAGCTTGCCCTCTACCCACTCTCATCCATGAATAATCAGTTCAAATTTAAAAATTTCAAAAAATAAATCTGATCAGGTCAAACCTTTGTTCAAAAATCTTTGGCAATAACCACTTGTTCTTGAAAAAAGAGGCCAAAACACAAAGTTGTCCCCAAGACCCTGTCCTGTCTGGCCTTGCCCACCCTCTCACTCAATCGTATGCTCTCCTCTGTCCCTTCTGCATTGCAGCCACACAGCCTACTTTGGGCTCTCCAAAGCCCCCTGTTCTTCTAGCTACACAGCCTTTGTCCATGCTGTCCCTTTGCTGGAACCACTGGCCCCGGTAATCCTCTGTCATCATCTCCAGCTCCATGTCCTCTGCAAAGCCACCCTGCACTTCCTGCCATTGCTCAAATTCTAGTGTAATAGGGATGCATAGAAACATATCCTTTTCTTGAGATCACTCATTATCTTTTGGAATGACGGGTTATATGAAGTCTCTCTCTGCTTTCTAAACTATAAAGTTCATTCAGCAGTCCTTTCCTTCAATTTATTCTAAAGTTCAGCAGTGATTCTGTCCTTACTCCTCCCTATAATCTCAATGCCTAGCACATAATGGGTACTTTTTAAATGAATGAGTAAACGGCCAATCTTGAGATCTTCTCCTCTCACTGTGTTTGTGTGTGTGTGTGTGTGTGTGTGTGTGTATAAAATATAATTCCTATAATATTTATGATATAGTAGAACAATAATAACCATGGTATTTAACTTCTATTTTAATCTTCTGTCCTGCTTTTGGAAAAAAACTTTTTTCTATGAAACTATTGTAATTCAGGCACAAAGATAAGCATGCATACATAACGCTTTGAAGAAGGTTTTTTTTGTTCTTGCTGTTGTTATTCTTCATTTTAGGGGTGCTAGAAAAGGAGTCTGCTATTTGGAGGGAGTTTGGTATTAAATGTGGAATACAAAGCAGCCCTGGGAGGGACTGAATGCTTTACTGCACATGTGAGGAAAGGACCCAGGTCTGACCCTGGTATATAAACCAAATTTTAGAATTTTGTACCCATAAATATTTTGAGCCTTATATTTGCAGCTCTTTATAAAGCTTCTTTGTATTCCTCATATTAAAAGACAATCAAATGCAATAGTTAAGGAATGACCCAGGGGTCCTACAGACCCCTGTTTCTGTTTGAATCCTGAGTCAGTCTTTTGTCAACTCTAAGTCCTTGGGCAGATCAAATACCCATATTGAACCTCAGTTTCCTTACTTGTAAAATGGACAAATACAGAAACAGTCCCTCGGTCATAAAGTCATTGTAAGAACGATAAGAGACATTCAGCAGTGTGCTTTGCCCCATCATAACGCCATGAAGCAAGCAGGATAGATAACCATAGCCCTGTGCGACTGCCTCAAATAGGTCAAGAGCACACACAACTAGTGTCACAAAGCTGGGGACCTGAGCCAAAGTCAAACAATTGCAAATCCCCTGTTAATTCTCAGTTTAATTAAATTCCTGGCAGAAGAAGGTACTTCATAATATAGTTTTATTGTTCTTCCAAACTATAATCTAAGCAGCAAATGATGTCTGAGCTCTTTAAACCAACTGAAACATGAGAGAGTGCATACCAATTCTGATTATAAAATTCTATTGTGTTGAGGAAATCATGGTCCCTGCAGGCACAGGCAGAATCTATGAAGCCAGAGAGGCATGGAGGTGTAGTCCTTAACAAAACAGGGAAGACTCCACAGAACATAATCTACTTACAGATACGCCAGCTTTCTAGGACTGGGGTCAGTCAGTGGCAGCCTCGGTGCCAAAGCAGGCTCTGACTTGGTAAGTAAGGTCTGCCGCACTGGAGCCACACCTGTTCATTTGAGTACAGTTGTGACAGTGTGTGGTCCACGAAGCCTCAAGTACTTACCCTCAGGCCCCTCACAAAGACAGTTACCAATCTCTGTTATGGAAGACATATAACAGGGGGAAATAAACCCTGAAAATATCTTAAAATGCACAACTCTATTCCTAGTGCTTTCTTCACACCTTCGGTCCCATGAAAAAGGAGTGTTTTACCCTTTCTTGTGAAGTAGCAGGTGACCCAAATTCCCCAAAATGAAGTGAACATCAGCGCCTTCAAGGTCGGAGGGATTTTTCCCAGAAAAGTTTGTGATCCTGATGTTTGACTACATTCATCTCATTGTTCCCAATTCTTTAATTTCCCTAGCTATTAAATTCTGCGTATTTATACATATGAAAGACTCACTGGAATTTTCTCTTCTTCAAGGAGTGGTGCTGGTCTAGAGCCCTTCCCCAGTTCTTCCTCTTCTGTTGCTGCTTTCTTACATATATTCTGAGTCTCCTGGGTATCTGGTGCTTGCAGACCATAATATTGTGATTTCATTTTCAAGTTATTGGCGAATTCTTTGGACTGAGTTTTTCTGAAGAGAAACAAATGTGGAATTATCAAAAACATTCTCCAACATGGATAGCTTTTCCAAAGCAGATGCCTATATTCAAATCATGTGAAAAACAGTAACAGATACCATTTACCGAGTTCTTACAATATGCTAAGCCCTGTGTGAGTATTTAAAGACATTAACTTAGGAGCACCTGGGTGGCTCAGTTGGCTAAGCATCTGTCTCTTGGTTTCGACTCCTCTTGTGAGATTGAGCCCAGCGCCAGGCTTTGTGCTCAGTGCGGAGTCCGCTTACCCCTCTGCTTGGGCACACTCTCTTGCTCTCGCTCTCAAATTAATAGCATCTTAAAAAAAGAAAAGACATTAACTTATTCCTCATCATAACCCCATAAGAAGGGCTTGTTATCCTTGCTTACTTGCAAGAGGCTCAAAATAGTTATATTATTTATCCAAGGCCACACTGTGGCGCAGCTAGGATTTGAACCAGGGTCTGCCCGACTTCCATTCAGAAGCTAAACTGCTGGGGCACACTGCCTTCCTAGGATGCGCAGCTCACACTTCCTTTATCTCTGTACGCCCGTTTATGGTTTGAGTTACTGGAGGGGGTCACAGGAGCGTCAGCGACCCTTGGGACCTGAAGCCAGGTCCATATGTCTGCTTCTATCTCATCAGCTCAGAGAGGGCTGTCCCTACTCATGGAGTGACAGCCTTCACAGAAGTCACCCTGGGCCCCCAACAGAGGGGATCCATCCCCTGCCTCACTGAGACCAGCCAAATTTCCTTCCTATTTTTGCAGGCGATCATGTCACTTCCTTATTCAAACCTCTAGTGTCCACAGATCAAGGTCCAAAGTCCTAAATCTGGCCTTCAAGCCACTTTAGAGCGTGGCCCCCTCTCTCCTGCTACTTGCCCACATACACCTCAAACATTCAGAAGTCATCATCACCCAAAGAATGAGACATATTCGGAACTAGGGCTCTTGATCATGCCCTCTGCCTGCAATTTCCTTCCTGATATTCTGCAGCTGGAAAACTCTACTTATCTTTCAAGGTTCAATTCAGATTTTACCTCTTTTCTGGATCGGAATATTGGGCTCAGTTAATGCTCTGTTTGTAGCTGTAGCATGTATCACAGCCTGTATCAGCAGAAGTTAGTTGTGTAACTGCCTGTTTCTCCTCCTCCTCCTAGAAGCTTCTTGTTCATCCTTGAATTCCCACCACCTAGAGTGGTGGAAGCACCTGGAAGGCCTGCTCGCTCAGCAGCCCCCTGTGAGCAATCTTGCTGGAAGGCCCAAAGCTTAAACAGTCATTGCATTTCTCACTTACATTCCTGATGCTCAGCTGTGTCCGCTTCAGTGCTTTGGCACGACTCTAGGGAAGCCAGGGATCACACAGGAAACCTCAGCCAGACCAAATCAGATGGCAAGTGAGGAAGTGAAACAGCTGATCTGATCGCATTGTGGGAAGGAAGGGAACCCCAAAAGTGTAAAGAGACTTGCCGGAGAGAGCTACAGTGACTTTTGTAACTCTCAGATCCACCCCACTCTCCCTCCAGATACTCTGAAACAGGCATCTTTGCATCATTTTATAATCTGGCCAGCCTCTCACTGGCTTGCAGATGGCATACCTGAGCTCTTCCGCTTCCCGCTCGGCTTTCAGCTGGGCCCTCTCAGCAATAATCTCATTACAGAGCACGTCGTAGGGTTTATCAAGATGGTGTTCGCCCATCACCCAGACCCAGACTTCCTTATCGGCTCCCAGTTTCCAGTGAACAGATTTGCCGTTTTCTGTAAGCGAAACAGAATTTGGATTGGACAAATATCTTCAGTCATGGGTTATGATATTTGCCATCATTAAAGTATTTTCGAAGAATATTTTAAAGAATAAAGTATATTCATTAAAGTATTTCAAGAAAAAAAGATTAGATGAGACAAAGCACTTCCAGTCTCCTCAGGAACAAGCAGCAGTCCCAGGGAGCAATGGAGGTGGTAGCAGAGGATGGCGGCTACAGCAATGTTTTTTTAAAATATAAATATGAGGGTGCCTGGGTGGCCGAGTGTCTGCCTTCAGCTCGGGTCATGATTCCAGGGTCCTGGGATTGAGCCCCTTGTTGGGTTCCCTGTTCAGCGGGGAGTCTGCTTCTCTCTCTCCCTCTCTCTTTGCCCCTCTCCCCGACCGTGCACTCTCTCTCGCTCTTGCTCATGCTCTCTCTCTCAAGTAAATAAAATCTTTAAAAAAAATATGAATATGGTTTTTGAATGTGTCCATTTTGTAACTAAAGTAGGAGAGATGGGGAGAAAGCATGCAGTTTGTGCTAACATCTGACATCAGAATCTTTAAGGTCGAGAATCTTCTTGAACCCCAGAAGTACACAGATTCTCCAGGGTTTGGTACTTCCATTTTAGAATTGGACTGGCTTTAGTTTAAACCCTAGTCCTACCACTTACTAGCTGTGTGACTTGGACAAATTAATTTTTCTGAGCCTCAGTTTCCTCATCTGCAAAATGGGAATATGACCGACCACCAACAATGCAGGACTGCCATCGGGAAGCAGGCTACACCAGCTCTTTCCCCCAGTGCCTGCCACATAATAGGAGTTCATGAGAGGTTAAGTGCTACCATCACCCTATTTACTTCTAGGGCTCCTCAGAGATTCACACCAACTTGTGAGAAGATAATACTACTGGTAGTGTGATACTTAGTGAAGCTACTTAAATGATCCTTGTTTACAATTGGTCACAGGGGTTGTATTACATTCTACTTCCTGGACTCCAGAGATAGCCACACAGGTCATGCTCCCTGAACCCAGGGTTATGTGGAAACACATCCAGGAGAAGCCAAGAAGGGCAGTCCCTAAATCTAAAAGCCGCCAGGCAGATCTACCGAGGGCCATTATGGTCCATATTGTGGTCAAGATCCCTGGGCCCTAAGAACCCCAAACTGGCCAGTAGTGTTGAGTGTGGGTAAGAGGGCACCTGATGGAACACATGTGCTTAGAGGTTAGAAATCCACACTGGGATTGTGTCTCATCTTTGTACATTAAGTAGAAGGTTTCCAATTAAAGAAAGCATCTTCTGTCCAGTGAATTGTTAACCTACTTCCTACTGTCGCCCCAGGATACATTAAAAAAGCAGGCTGCTCAAACTCAGATGTGTTCTTTGGTTTGGCACTTTACACCCTTCTTGGGGCAATGAAGACCTCTTATAGCGTGAGAAAATTCTAACTAGGATACTGGGGCAGCGGGAAGTTGGGGGGACAGAATCTTCACTCTAAGAGGAGTCAAATGTATCATCCAGAAAGCAGCTGACCTCACACTGTTTTCCCAAACAGAGAAACAGTGAACGTGGCACCAGGTATGAAGAGAAGAGCAATCCCAAGCGTGCCCTAGTGGGGATGGGCCCTGGCCAGCTCTGGCTCGTGTGAGGAGATGCCAAATGGCTCATTAACTGTAGAAAGCTGTCATACCTCATCAAACTCCCTTTATTACACTCTCTCAGGGCAACTAATAGTATTTTTTACTATGTCCATCTCTCAACCTTCACCTAAGAAACTCTCTACCCATATTTTTGATAGCAGGAGACAGTCGCCCTGACAGGAGAGTGGCAGAGGGCCAGGGGAGGTGGAGAGGGAGGACCCAGGGAGCCTGCAGCATTGCTTAGTGTGGCAGGACACATTCTCTGGGGAGCCCCGCGGGCTGCAGGCCGGGGTGTCACTCTTAGGGGAAGAAGGTGCTGCCTTGAAGGGTGAGGTGGGGGAGAAACCCCAGGATCGCCTGTGAACAGAGGAGGGTGCTACGAGTAGAAAAGACTGCCAAACAAGAGCCTTGACATTTTAGAAGCAAGGGAGTGGTGAGAACATGGTGGAGGTAAAGAAGCCATGGTTTGGAGGCAAGAAAAAAAGAGAAGCGTCACATTCAGCCAGATGCCGAAAGAACGGTTCTTGACAGAATGGCACTGACGATAATGTCTGTGCTGAGCGCTTCTCACCTTCAGGAGCTCTTCAGTGTACCTGAGAGCAAAGAGGTTGGAGGGCCTTCAAGGGCTCCCCCACAATGCCCTAAAATCTTAGCGGAGGCTGCTGGAGAAGTTATTCTAGTAAAATGAGTGTTAGCTCCGACACCCTCTATTTTACACTAAGATAGGGGAAGACTATTCAGGCCTGTTTAGTTCACGCCACAAAAACGTACTGTTTCTAACTCTGAGCACAATGCGGCTGAGCTAAATGCTGCAGGTGCTACAGAGATCAAACAGATGTGGCCATTTTCCTACAAGTGACCTAGCAGCTTCGAGAGAAAGAGCAAGGCATTAGGCTGCTTATTTAATGAATTTTATCGCATATCTACTATGTGTGAGGCACTGAGGTAGACGTGCATAAGCACTTATGAACAAGACAGACCAGCTCCTGCCCTCGGGGAACTTATATCCTAGCTGGAGATAGGAATCGAACACGTAATTAATTATAAAAGTAATACAACTTGGGGAAGGGGGTGTGAGAGGGTGCTAAGGGAATGCGTAAGAAGAACTAATCAATTTGAAGGACCAGGGGAACATACACCAAAACCACAACAGATTTTAAATCCAGTGAAGATTTGCAGGATGGAGAAATCGTTTTGGAAGCACACAGAAGAAAAAAGAAGTTCTTTGTATTGAGTTTTGGAGGGGGTAAGTTTGGTGACCTGCACAAAGATCATGTGATCGAAGATCAGAGAAGGAAATCAGGGAAGGGCTGTAGGGAATCAGGTTCTCGGTGAGAGCTGAAGAGAGCTTTGGATGTCGTCTGGCTGTGCACTGAGGATCATGCAGGGGGCAGAGGGCACAGGGCACGAGGCACAATTCCCAGACACTTGGCTACATGATTTAAACTTAGGTCCTGCACTGCATAAAGCCAGAAAGTGGTGTTAAAATCCCAGGGTTTCCACCAACTCTTTATGTAACCATGTATAGGATACCTTACCTCTCTGAGCCTGAGCTCCCTCTCTGATAAAACAGAGGTAGTGAGTCAGACCTCACAAGCCTGTCATGTGATAAATGCTCAAAAATATTAGTTCTATGTTTCTTGATTAAATGACCAGTGAAGAGTCTATGACTGTCGCTGTGCAGATGGTGCCAGGGTCAGAAAAGGGATTTAGGAAGTGCTCGTCCACATCATCATGTGGGGTGGGTCAGGGAAGTAAGAGAGGCTGTCCAGTGGCTGAGCGAGGACAGAATTGGGGAGAGGTGAGGTTGAAAGACCAGGAGTGAGGTACCCGGGGCCCAAATGAGGGAAAGGTCAGTTAGATTCAGGTGGCTGGAAAGGAAGGACTCAAAGATGATGCCAATATTTTGAGTCTTACTAATGGAGAGGATGGCGGCATAATAAGCAGAAACAGTAATATCAAGAAAATAAATTTGTTTGAGCTGTTTTGGAAATGAAGAATAAATTTTTAATTCTACTAATAATCTACCTGGAGAGCTTCCATAGATACCTGAACTACGGCACTGGAGTTCAGGAATGATGTCGAGACAGACAGTGAATTTGGGAATTCCTTTATAGTTGCCATTGTTGAAGTCACTGGTGTAGAAAAATTGCAAAGGGAATCAAGCCTAGTGAGAACCTTGGAAAAGCGTGTGCTCCATTTAGGAGGCAAAAGGGAAGAAAAAGAACATTCTGATTTAAATAGCCCCAAAAAAAAAAAAAAGAATTTCTGATTCCTAAACATGACATAACATAGGAGCCTGGGGAGGATGCACTGCCATGTGGCCAAGAGAGAGGGTGCTTCCATGCCCTGGAGACACAGAAAGGGGGACGGGGAACCTTGGGGGTGTCTCAGCAGTCTCTGACTTTGGAGAGTATTTTTAGGGAGACAGGTGGGGGACAGGCTACAAAAGGAGGACAGAAAGGATGGTAAAACATGCAGGCTGTAAGTAAGTATGTGCTCTGGGGAAGTTTATTAGCAAGGAAGTAAAAAAAAGGATTCAGTTATTTGTTCAACAAATAAATTTACCGAGCATCTGCTATGTTCCAGGCACTGTATTATAGGCCTTTGAGACAGAAAGGGCAGCTTAGGAGTAAGGATGGTTGAAAGATTTCTTTAAATAGAAGAAACAGGGTAAAGTTTGACACTTAGGGTTTTGGGAGGGGAGAGCAGAAGGATACCAGGGACCAGGCAAGGGGAATGATGGCAGGGGGAGTGTGCAAAGAACAGGTAAGGAAGAAAATGTTGACAAGAAGAGAAGAAAAGCTCCTGTCTGCCAAGAGTTGAAAACTGATAGACTTACCCACATTTCTGGCCCCAGTGTCCTTCCTCAAAGTAAATGTATACACTGAAGAGATCCTACTGGGACAGGCACTGCATCTTATTATAACTTAATGCTATCTACACATTCTGGACTTTTTTGTCTACTTCACCTTGACATTATATGCACTCTTTAGTCAGAGGACAGTGAGAGAGGGACCTTTTCATAGCACTTCCATTTAATTATAAGGTTTGCTCCCACAGTACTTGAATCATGTTTGTGTGCTGCAGCATTCTTCATATATATGATATTCATATATATGTATATGAATATATTCTTCATATATTCTTCACAATCTCTAACGAGGCAATGCCCTGACTTCTCCTCACATGGTGGGCCCAGCAGAGGACGAGACTAGAAGTGTCGGTGTGGATCATCTTGGGTTCAGGTCAGTGCAAACCCCAGGGCTCTCCCCAAACTAAGACTCATTCAGAGGGTCGGTAACTGGTCTCCACTCCAACTAGATCCAACTCAGAAGGACAGCCATAGTAACAGGCGAGGACGAGAAATGG